TATTGTAAGAGAAAATATTATTGCCAATAGCTTTAAATGGAAAGCTGATTTGGGAAGACCAGAGATGCATGGAGTTTAATAATTTTATATTAAATTAACAAGAGAAAGAAGAAACACTAAAACTTTTATAAAGATTTTTGTTCAGACATAAAAAGAAACAACACGAAAAACAGTAATAGTTTGTATGTTGTAAGAAACAGCAGCTAGGCACAAAAAAGGAAATCCTGTCTTATTTAGCATCTGAAAAAGGAGGTGGTGAAGTTAGACTCAATACATTACTAAATAAAAATTGTGCCATTTATGCTGACTGATTATGTACAATATGTGTATGCAGCATTAGGATATGAGGTGTTGTGAACCTTTCCGAACTGCCATCATCAGTGATTGAGCAGTGTAAGTGTTTTGTGGGTCACCGGTGAGACATTTGCTTGCTGTCCAAGCAAAAGCCGCAGGGCTCCAGGGACCAGTGAAAGTGAGGGATTGACACATTAACAATAAGTTTCACTGCAAGAAAATGAATAGCTGTCGGTGCTGCTGTGCATGATGGCAATAGAAAATTGGAAGTTAGTGACAAGCGTTTGACCTGTGCCAAATAACAGCACTTAGCACAGCTTTTGCCCATTAACCTCGCTAACCAAGAACTTGAATGGTCACCAAAAAGACACTTTAATCACTTATTCACAACTGCCAAAAAATGAATTTTAGAAAACTCACATTTTTATATGTTAAAACAGATTTCCAATTAGCAGTCACTTCCGTAAGATGAAATGCACTGTTTTTTTTTATTTATTTATCACACACTATAAAACCACTTCAGATTAAACCACCAACCCTGTCTATTTAAGATTAATGAATGGTGAACACCAACACTTATTATCTCTACTGTCACCTATGAAAAAAGGAAGAGGTCTACTTTTACAAGAATAAGTGTATCTCCCTTTCCAGTCAAATTAGCAGACACAAACTAATCCTCCAATTGTTTGTAACTCTCTTAGGACAAATAATGTTTTTTTTTTCTGTAATCAGTGTTGTCTTTGTGACAATTACAACTAATTGAAATATATCTCTCTGGTCTCAACCCACAAAGCAGACAGGTGTGGACCAAATCTGATGTCAAACTGGCATTTCCAGCATGGAAAGTGGTTTTTCAACCAGATGTGCACCAGGTTTGGCGAGATGGCACTGTTTGTATGATGTCATTCTACAACTACAATACATGGTCCAAATCTGTCAATACCACCATCGGCCCAGTTGTTTAGTTTATGTGGTGTTGGCCCATGCATGGACAACCTCTGGCAAACTGCAACTGGGCCATTAAAGGGCCATCCTTCTTTGTATTATCTGGGTCAAGCGTTACTGCTCAGGTATGAACATATGGGCCAGAACTGGGCCAGACCAGTTTTGCTATGTGGGAAAGACCTGATCTTTATCTTAATGTTAAATCCAATTTTTGTCTTTTTTTCTGTGATCTGGCTTATTTGGCTCATCTCACACCCACAAAAAAGAGCCAGCTTTACGGTGAAGTCAAAGAATTCAAGGTAGTACTCCTTCAACAGTCCATCATCTTGGTGCAATGTATCATCCTCAATGCACCATGGGCTACTATGGCTGAGTGGTAACAGGAGTTGTTCCCCTAATGCAAGAGTTGGTAGTTCAATTCCACAGCTCTTTGGTCTAATGTCGATGTGCCCCTGAACCCCCATTGCCTCTGATGTGTGTCCCATAAGTGTATGAGTGGGATTTAAAAGTACCGATTAGTCTCTATAGATTGATTTATCTGTATTACCTTTGTAGAGAGACCTAGTAGAGTGCTGAATGAATGAGTGTGTAAATGGGTAAATGAGGACACAGATTGTAGCATAAAGTGTTTTGAGTATTCTGGTTGGATAGAAAAACACTACATAAGTAGTCCATTTAACATCACCATGACATGATGCTACCTCCACCATGATTGACATCCAGTACAGTGTTCAAAGATTGGACAGTCTAACATTGAGTCCTCTAAACATGCTTTTGTCATTTTGGCCAAATAGCTCAAACTTTATCCCAACAACTTTTCTCCAGAAGGCATTTGGTTTGTCTGTTGAGCCAAAAGTGTGATTTTTAGGACAGTGGTGTTTCAGCAGTGTCCAGTTCAAGGCAGACTTGTCTTGGTCATCAAGGTTTTTTTAAGGATGATCGTGGGTGAGTCTTGGATGTTCCCATTGTTCTAATAATTGGTCTGTTCAGTCAGTGCTGCCAGGCAATCACTTTTGGTTCCGACAAACAAAAACAACCAGCTGCAGTCAGTCATGATTACAAACATAAAATAAAGGACTTGACTGCATCAAATTAAAGGACATTGTTGAACCTTTAGCACCACAAATAAAAATATAGATGGATAAATGTACATATTCATAAATAATATTTTGACCCTGTGTAGATTAGAGTAAATCTCCACAAAAAAACAAATGTGTGCACACAATTCTTGTTTTAAAAATCCTTGAAGCTATGTGATGTATAATCATTTCACTTTAGAAAAGGAATGCTTCAGATTAGATCATTAGAAGCCCAAAATAAATGTGATTTTTATGCACATGATCATGAACTGTAAACTTGTGACTGCTACTATAGATCAGCTCTGTTCTTCTGAATGGAGATATAAAGTAAATGTGATTCAGTGCTCAGCTTTTACTTTTTTCCAGTTGTTGCAGTAATGAGGTTGTTTCCATACAATACAGGTTTTAGATTTCTAGAGCTAATGTATACACCTGGCATTATTCACTCTTTCATGACAAACTTTAACATTCCTTTGTGTCCAGGAGTGACTGGAATGGAACAACTCAAATGAAAGCCTGACTGCATTGACTGGGCACTTGCCTACTAATAAACAGGGACATTGTCACTGTCTGCAAAATCTATAAATAAAACAAGAAGTCTTTCAAGCCATGGCGTCTTTCAGTCTTCTTGGCATTATTCTTTGGTAATTCTGAAAGTTATGAGCTGCTTTGGAAAGTCAATGATGCTTGTTGTCCATCTCAGTCAGCTTTTAGACACAGCACTGCTCCGTTTTCTGTTGTTCCACACCAGTGACTGTGGTGACTGATGTAGTTTTCTCAGCAGTCTTTGGGGATTATTAGACAGGTTGAGAGTGATGTAGAAGACAAAGAACAATGGTGCCCTTGAGTTGGCTTTTCCAGCTGAGTTTGAACTGCAAGTCTATTTCAAGTTAACGTTGCTGGGAACCTAATTTATATAAATATAAAAATGGTTCATGGATACAATAGGTTGCAAATGTATTCAAGCACTTCTTGTTTGGTTTTTATGTGTTGCACGCTGCCATACTTGGTCAAATTCAATTGGCATTTCAATTTTAGCGTGGCATGGCCTTGAAGATGGGGGCATCAAAGGAAAGGGGCTGAATACATAATGCAGACCACTTTTAATTTTAATAATTTCGTAAATTTATCCAAAACATTTTAATTTTAACAATATAATAATCTAAAATATTTTGAATAAGTGTCTTATTGTTATCAAATTGAAATTTATTGTTTATTTTGTATAGGGACAAGTGTCAAGTATTACCAACATCACCAAAGTAAAACATTTATAGCCTTTAGCGTTAGTAGGGATGCTATTTAAAATCCAGATTATCAGGAAACAAATTATTTTCATCACTAAAGGTGTTGTCAGTCAGGCTTTAAATGTCAGATTTTAAGGCTTGCTGTAATTAAAATGTGTCTGACCTAATTAAATAATGAGGCTCAGCTACTACCTGTTCAGTGTCCTGCCACTCCACCCAGGAAAACTGACAAAAGAGACACAGGCTCACTTTAACTGAATAACGGTGTGGTGTGCGTCAGGTTAGGAAGTTTATTAGCTAAAGTCAATTAGGAGGCAGCTGCAGTGGTGTGTCGGTTTGTTAGTGTTGCTCAGATATAAACAAGGGGGAGGTGAAATATGAGGGAAATAGCTGATGACAGGAAAACAAGAGAATGGAGAAAGATAACTAATTGAGATGACTGGAAATAATGAGGGAGAGTGTGACAAGAGACAGGTAATGCCGCTGCTCTTGTGCATTAATTATTTAGTGAGAAATTTCTCTCAGGGCTCTCACTTTTGAATTGCTCTCAAACTCAAAAGTGTTGTGCATGTGCATGCATTTGTGTTCTCCACGTGACCATCAGTCTATCGAGAGCCAGAGGGCACAATGCTGGTCAGCCAGCTCCCCCTCCCAACTGTCTCATATTTTTTTTCTTTCTCCCTGTAGGGTGGCCATTACAGTGAGCCCTGCTGGCCACATCACAGCATAGGATCACACACACACACACACACACACACACACACACACACACACATTGGCAAACAGTGAAAAAACGATTTTGCAAGTATGCACATCCAAGTTTGCACACACCACTCCACCTCTCTAGCCATCCGTCTATCCATCCAGCTCAGCTTGAGGGTCTCTGTGAGTGGGCTTCAACCCCCTGTTAGAGCCTTGGCCACATTAGCAGCCTGGCAGGAGAAGAGATGGCTGGGCTGGCCAACAGCCTCCGGCAAACGTCATCCCACAAGAGCTGGCACCCTTTGGAGGAGCTGGAATGGTCACAAAGTGGGAAGAATCTAATCCGGTTAGACCGGTTTTCCTTCTGCATCCTCAAATACCACGGGGCTTATTTAGGCTACGCTGCACTCTAAGTAAATAGGAATCCTGTGTATGATGCATGCTCCCTGGGAGTTATTAGATTACATTAATACAGCAAAGTGTCAAGTTCAAAGCAGAAAAAATAAGAGCGGACTGCAGAGGAAATCGTGATTCAAGCTCATTCACAGTTAGATCACATGACAGCTTCATACAGTTTATGTCTCAAGTGTAAGTACATCCGGCAGCTTTGCTTTTCTGTCTGGGTTAACTCCTGAGTCATTGATGACTGCCTCCATTTGATACAAGGTAGTCCATGTTTACCCCTGGCTTTGATCCTGCTCAACTTGACAGCTGTTAAAGTTGAGATGTACCTTACCTGCGTAGGGGATGGGGGCATCTTTATCCAGGGCAACCAGTGGAGGATCCAGCAGAACTACGTCGGTGTTTTCAGTGATCACGCCATGATACGATGTCTCTATCCAGGGCTTGTGTTTATTCACTGCAGAAACAAAAAGCAAAGAAAAAAACTACTTTTAGAGGTCAAAAATTGAAGAAGATAATAAATCTTCGATAAGCTACGACAGTATATTTGTTCACAAATCAATAATTTAGCTTCAGTATGCAGGCAGAAATAAACAAATTCAGTATCCCACAGCATGAGCATTTTTACTGGAGAAACCCTTCCACCGTGAGCATCGGAGTTATTTTCCCAGTATCCCTCCCTACTTTTTCTTTTGTTTCTTTCATCATTCAAACCCTGCAGCGTCAAATGCACCATCACATATTTAATCAGCTACAACCACTGTGCTGACTGCTGAAATCTTTATGAAAACCAAGTCAAAACAAGGTTCATGATGTGAATTCAGTTCACCTGTGTGTGTGTGTGTGTGTGTGTGTGTGTGTGTGTGTGTGTGTGTGTGTGTGTGTGT